TCACCCAAAAAAGAGCCCCCTCCTGGGGCTGAGAGAGCCCAGGGCGGGGGCAGGTCATGGGGCAAGGGAGCCGGGTCTCATTACTGTGCCGGGTCAGTGCTGGGCGGGGGTCGGGAACTGCCCTGGGCCCCCTAGGTTCTGGCGACACAGACCCTGACCCAGACCCAGGCCCTGGGTCAGGGAGCACCCTGTTGGGGGCAGAGTTAGGGTTAGGGTTGCGTTAGGGACCAGGTTGGAGTGAGGGTAAGGGAATATCGATAAGGTTAGGGATAATGATAGGGTTAGGGTTAGGGTTAGGGTTAGGGATAAGACTATATGGATAATCTTAGGGTTATGTTAAGGTTACAGTTAGGGGTAATTAATAGGGTTAGGGTTTGGGATAAGGATAGTATTATGGTTGACGTTAGGTTATGGTTAGGAATTTTTGCCTTTCGACCCGGACGCGCCCTCCTCTCTCCCTGCCCCCGGGTGGTGGGGGGTCTGGCCTGGGCTCTCCATGTTCCTTGTTGAGTTACCTTTGCGCCCGGAGGGTCCTGCATTCCCAGGGACTCCGTATGGGCCTGGTTCTCCTGCAAATTCAAACATGTCAGTGAGCAATCTCTGGGACCCAGGCCCATCGGGCCTCCAGGTTAGACCCTCAGGAACCTGAGGGAGGGGACCGGGACCACAGCCTCCTAGTCCCTGCTGTCCAGTCAGAGGCCAGGACCTGCGACCAGGGGTCTTCCCAGGGAACCAGGCCTGAGCCCAGCTCTGCCCTCGTTCGGGGACCCTGGGCGTTTCCATTGGCTGTGCCTGCCGGGCCCACTATGGTTGCCCCTGGAGACAGGCCCCCCTGGGCTCAGCTAGGACCAGGGAGGGCAGGGAGGACAGTCCAGCCGGGTCCCCCCGCAGCAGGTGCGTCATCACCAGGAGCCGTGCTGGACGCCCACACAGGCCCACCAGTTCCATGGGTGACCTGAGACCAGCTCCCACCTACAGGGACCCACACCCCAGTGGACCAAGCCCCAGGCCCCGCCTGAGAACTGCTGGGGGCCCTAGTCTACCGGGTCTCCCTGGGCAGGGACGAGGTCCAGCCCCCCTGTCACCCGGGCACTAACCTCTCCTGCCGTCAGCGCCTGCCTCTCCCTTGGGCCCCTGGGCCCCGGGCAGCCCCGGGCAGCCCTGGAGGACGGTGAGATTCTCAGCCTCCAGCCCCAGCACCTTCACTTCTGCAGAGAAGCACAGGCGCCCGTCAGCGTGAGGACCTGGGCCACTGCCTCCCCCCATCCCCCGAGGGACCTGCCACCGTGGGGACCAAGGCCTGGCAGATGGCTGTGCCCGGGCCGCCTGCCTCAGCTGGAGGGCCAGCCTGGAGGGGAGGCGGTCCCGCCTCTGCTGAGCCTGTGGTCGGTCCTCCCCCAGGTGATGGGCCCGGCCTCGGGGTCCACCGGCCCCTGGGGAACCCCGCTCCTCAGGCTGTGTGTCCTCAGGAGTCACTCAGCCCCTCTGGGCTCTGTGCCCGGCTGCAGAGTGAGAGCAGCGGGG